TCATTTCCTCTGAACTGGATGTCTATCATGTTGGGCCTGCTGGTCTGTAGAGGCTAGTGCATCAATAATTCTTGTGACATGTTCAGCATCCACAAACATCATGGTTCCTCCTGTTGCACCATCTAAAAGCATCTTTGTATCAGGTCTTAGGCCAATGCAGAAAATGTTCAACTGGGCAATGTCTTCAAATCCATGATTTAGGCACCTCCTTAACAATGATTTAAATCTCTCCCATGCTTCACAAAAAGGTTCATCTGCTCCTTGTTTGAAAGTAGAAATATCGGATTTTGTCTTGATGTAGCGAGATGGTGGAAAAAATCTGTTCTGAAACTTCTCTTCTACATTACCCCAATTGGTCAAACTCTGATTAGGATGTGCTTTTAACCACTCTTTTGCCCTGCCAGCCACTGAAAAAGGAAATAATCTCAAGTATGCAGATTCAATATCTCCTTCTTTAAACCTCATGGTGTCAATCAACTCATAAAAAGTGGACAAATGAATATAGGGATCTTCATGATCCATTCCAGTGAATTGATGAGCATTAATCAAGCTTAAGAAAGCTGGCTTCATCTCCAAAGATTGGTTGATTGGTATTGCAATGCTGGAGAAATGTCTTAGACCTTGGCCTTATTGCATAGCATAGTCCCCAAGGGTTCTTCTAGGTGGATTTAGATTTGGATTTGTTCTTTCACCCTCCATGTCTTCTATGATTGGTTCTTGTAAGTTGAGTGTGGGAGAAGAGTTGATTGATTCTCCTGTTGATTGTTCTTGAGTTTCCCTTCTGTTTCTACCACGATTCCTCCGAGCGGCTTTTTCAATCTCAGGATCGAATTCTAACTGATCTATAGATACATGTCCTATTAAAAGCATAAATCAAAGAACAACTCAAGCAATAATTAGCACAGGACAAACAATAAAAATATAAATAAATAAAATAAAATAAAAATAATAAACTAGATAAAGAATTTCCAAGGAACATCATTCCTCGGCAATGATGCCAGAAATACTTGTTGGTTTTTGGCAAGCGTACCAATATTATCAATCGCAATACAGTATTTCAATTAAATAAAAGTCGATCCCACAAGGAACGATTTCACTAGAAATTCCAAATCATATGCTTACTAATTGTATTAACACAATGGGTTTTTCATAAACTTTGGGATTGAAAACAAACAGTAAAAAGCTATAAAATGTATTTAGAAAAAATGAATTATGAAAACTGATGATTGACTTACTTCTTTTTCTCTCCTTTGTATAATGGATAGGTCAAATTAATAACATCAATTAACCTATCAATGTTGATGTCACCTATTTAAATCATTCACATTAATTCCTCAAACATGAAATTCATAAGAAAACCTGGTAAACATAGATTTCTCATACATTTAATAGATTTTCCAGCATTAGGTTTAGAGTGTTAAGCAATTGAAACATCCATTACCATTTGTAACAATCAACGTAACAAATATTCTTAACCTAATCAAGGGTTTCAAGATATATTTTCCAATATATATGAACATCCAAGACAAATCATTAACAGGCATCAAGGATAAGAATAACAACATCAAGAACATAGATTAATATTTCAAAATATCACCAAGATACAAAAGAGTTCAAAGGAAGTGCACCCAATCCTAAGAGAATGCAGTTAGCCACTCATGATGGTCATTTTAATGATCCTAATGAAGAAGAATTGAAGATGAGTTGAAGATTGGACGAAAACTTGATCAGCTGCTACTCCTTTCTTCTCAAAACCCTCCAACCCCCCCTTTCTCAAAACACATCTTATCTTTTTATATAAAAATTTTACGTCATTCGCTCAAGCGAGTAATGATGATTTTTGCTCAAGCAAGAATTTGCTCGCTTGAGCGATTTAATTCCCGAGAGTTTTAACGTATTTTCGCTCGAGCGAATGACTTCTAGAGAGGTTTAACGTATTTTCGCTCAAGCGAGCGTCTACAATTAACTTAAGCTGAAAATCTTAGGCTCAAGCGAGCAAATCTTAGGCTGAAAATTTTCTTCCTTTTTTCTAATTTTTCTTCAATTAACTTGAGAATTATGATATTTGTTCTTGTACCCAGGTATTCTACAAATTCATCCTACATTGGGAGAAGAATAGATTAGAATCAACATAATTTAAGTGGTTAAATAACAATTCAAAGCATAATTACATCAACTTTTGCCACTTAACAATGTGTCTTTACACTTTTGGACTCAAGGTTGTCCAATCACCATCTCCTTCTTTGTAAGTTGCCTCAAACTATCGAAACTAAGATGATCATACCTTAATTGCCACAGCTAATTAACATTAGAGACTGTTGCAAAACACAAGTTATTTGATATTGAAATCGATGTTCCATTTTTATCAAGGATTCTCAACATCTGGTCTCTCGATCTCCAATCGATCAAATGTCCTTTCTGAAGAAGTTGATCAATACTTAGTAAATTGTGCTTTATGACTGGAACATAGAGCACATATAAAATTATTGCAAATTTTTCATCTTTTCTTTTGATCATTATTCTTTCTTTTCCTTCATAGCTCATTATCAAATTATCTACAAATTTCACCTTTGATTTTACATTTTTATCTGGATCGACAAACTAACTCTTTTGAAATGACATGTAATTCGAACAACTATCCAAATACTAAGATTCACCAAAAGTTTCCACTGGTTTTAACATAGTCACCATTAACAACATTTCATTCTCCTGAGTCTTCCTTTTGTGCAACGTTCATTTCTTCTTCTTTGCTCTAACAATCAACAACATAATGACCATATTTGTAACAGTTGTAACACTATATATTCTTCTTACTCGCACCAGAGCCCGATCAATCACTTTCCACTGTGAGTTTATGCCTCTGCCACCTCTCGATTGTGAAGAGCTCTCACATTTCTCTTCTGATTCTTGACCATCATTGTTTCTACCTCTTCTTCTTAGACTTCTCTGGTTCGATTTTCCTCAATTACCTTCATTCTTTTGATCTTGTTCTATCAACAACACTTATTTTGCGTTGGACTTATCTTGCGCTCTCTCACGTAACCGTTATTTGTGAATTTCCAATGACTCTTGTAGTTTGTAAGTTTCAAGAAGTCGAGATCCTTAGACTTTTCGATAGTAACAAAAATTATATCGAGTTTAGCATTGAGGGTTCCCAATACTTTCTCTACCACCACTCATTCTTTCAAATTTTCATCACATGACTTAATTAAGTTTGTGATCGACAATAATCTTACAAAATATTCTTGGATGGTTTCTTGTATCTCCATCTGCAACAACTCATACTGACGATGCAAGCTTTGAAGTCGCACCACCTTCAACCTCTCTCTGTGTGCGTAACTGTGTCCTAGTATATCACATGTTTCTTTCGCCAAGTTTGTCAATAAAATCTTTTCAAAGTTTCTTTTATCAACACACTGATAAATGTAGAATATAGTTTTGCAATTATGTTTCTTTTTCTCTCGAAGCATCGCACGCTATGCCTCGGTGGGGTATTCTGGTAACCCCTCATATCCATTCAGAGTTACGTCCAAGACTTCTTAAAAACAAAAAATGATTTTCATCTTCACACACCAACTATCGAATTCTTTCATGTTCTTATTATCGAGCATTGATATGTTGTTATGCTACCCAATTTCTATCATCGTCATTTTTTTTTTTTTTTCTTCTTCCGATCTTGAAGTTTTTTATACTATTATTAGCAAAAAAGAGGTAAAAAAAAAAAGTATAAAAAGATATCAAGAGAGACACTGAAAAGAAGTTGTAAATTCTGGTTTATACAACTATTCCAAATAATGTAAAGATACCGTATTTATAACTGAAGAAGTTAATAAGGCTAACTATCTAGACTCATTAATACACCATAATTACTTACTGAATTATCTAACAAATTTAAGCAATTTTCATGACATCACGTACCATGATTGCTACTTCCCGATCATTTCTTGTTCTTCCATTCTCAACTTTTGTTTCGTATTTCTAACTCGAACAGAGTGTTATTCCTTTACTAAACTAACGCAAATATTTCTCGAGAGTGCGTGTTATGTTATTTCCATGAATGAAAGCATACGTCAATAAAATAATGCAGGCACAAAACCATGTCCAACTATTATAGCCATAGTGTTTTTTTTTTTTTTTTTTTGGAGTTCTGGTTTTCATTTCCTGTGGAGCAGACATTTATTGATGCTGACATACTATTCAAGTGGATGAAAGGGTTTTGTAGTATCTGAAACAGTATGTATTCATTTACTTTTCACAGGTGCTACTCTCAAATATTTTTACTTTCATTAGTGTGTATTGACTGCATTCATTCACAACAAAACATAAAGCAAAACTCTAACAACAGACTTCGATTCTAGTTACCACTATTTTAAATAACAAGGGCGTTCTGCATTAGTGAAAGGTCAACGTGAGTTGTGTCATTATATCAGAATCATTATATCGATTCAGTTAATTATTAGTAACGGATATGTTAACCTCTAAGACTTGCATGACTTGAAACTTCAAACTCTTTTACACAGGTAGCAGAAAGAGATTCGGTGGTATAATATCAGGAAATGGCTACCTAATACGTGTATGACACTGTGGGAACATTAGCACTCAATATGAAAAATTAGAGTACACAGAAGAAAGTTGTAAGAAAAAACTTCAGACTGCCAGGTACTTTGAACAAATGATCTCCACATATTCTCAAATTATAACACCAAAAAGAATTAGCTCACATGGTAAAGTGTCAACTTCCAAAATTCAATACAAAAGAATAACTAAGTAGTCAAATTGCGATTAAGAAGAAACAAGGGCTGTTGAATCAAAACTCACTATACTATAAGAGTCCACATGGGCAAGAAGGGTGCTAATGGGAGATGAGAGAAAAAGGGTCCAGATAAAAAAAACGAGGTGATGAATGCAAAGGATTACGAATACGCATAACTAGGAGATATTTCTCTCTAAAAGAAAGAAACTACACATTATCTTATTTTAGTTTGACATATTCAGAAGTGCTAGAACAATGTATTGGATGGCAAAAGAGCATTCATGAACTCCTCATCTGATTCCAGAGAGCTCATTATATGTGGCAAAAGGCACACTTCTAAATCAATGCTTCCCCCTCCATCACGTCCTGGGTAGGATGACACTTTCCCATCAAACTTGTTAGCATACCCACTTCTAGCTGCCACTGCTTTTCCCATTCCAAAATCATTCCCATACATATTGAACCTGGGCGAGCTACCCATCATCACACAATACGGGTCAAAGAAACGACCAATTTGATATATCAAAGGTGACTCTAACCACTGTTGGAGAAATTGCAACACCACTCTATCGTTAAGGTTTGCAACAGCCACGTGCAACTTCCATGCTGCCCATCCTATGCCATTCTCAAGCAATTCCCCTGTTGTCGTTTCTGCCTCTACTGCATGAAGGCAGTTTCCAAAGTATTCTTCAGGCAGAGTTGGTTCCATTCTTGACCGACAATTTGCCGCCAACCTGCAACTTGTTTTTTGCTCGTTAGGTGGGGAGCGCGCACGAGTTATGGATCTCCAAACAAGTGCTGATAATGATTGGAACGAAGATATTTCCGTGGTATTGGATTCCGAGTTGGCCTTTGCTTTCAGTTTGGCAATAGACTCTGCTGAAAATTGAAAAATTCTCTCTCTCAACAATGATGCTTCAGATCTGCTAATAAACTCGTCATGATGTTTGAAAGGAAGATTGATTGGCGGACTACAATTGTTTGGAAACCAGCGATTATGAATGGGTTGGTATGAAATGGGAACGTCATATTCATGAGCTTGAGCTTGATGAGATTGTGCTTGAAAGATCTGAGACCATGTATTGAAGAAATTCCAATACGAAGTTCCATCGCCAATAACATGGTTCATGGAACAACCTATGAAAACACCATCCACCAATTCAGTCACCTGGATGGACAACAGCGGCATGGTGTGACCATCATGGTTGATGGCTTTGTGGTGGTCAAAGAATGAGTGAATAGTGGGTGGGACGTCAACAGGGGAGAGTATGTCAGATATGGTCATGTCTAAAGTTGCATAGATGAATCTAGCTCCATCAGTGTTGTTGCAATCAACAAAAACAATATAAGAGGGAGGGTGTTGGGTTTTGTGGGTGACAAGGCGACCAGACAATGGATAGAAACGGGAGAGGGTGAGAGAAAGAGAGTGTTTGAGCTTCTCCAACAGATTCTCCATGAAATGATGTGGATGAAGCGTGGAAGGTTTGATGAAGAGTAAACCCTTCTGGATGTGGTGCACAGAGAGCATAGCAATATCCCAAGGTGTTAAATCCCAGATTTGGTTTGAGACTTGGTTGGAGTGGTGTGGCTTCACGAGACATTCTGAAATGCAACGGACGGCAGGGCTACTCATTACGCCGTGTTTCTCTTTCCTACTTCAGAAAGTTTTATGCAGAGAGAAATGAAGTCTGAGAATATTCTTGTCATTTGGGAAAAACGGGTGATATATAGATAAATCCTTCACCTACCACCATAAAAAATAATATGATAATATTATATTAAAATATGTAAATAAAGATAAAAGCGGTTTAACTTTGATCGAAGGGGTTGAAAGATTTAAGAAAAATATTTTAGAAAGATGTTTAAAGTATATTTTCTTTTTACATATATTGTCAAATACGTTAAATAGTTCTCTATGGTTTATTAAAAAAATAAATATATAAAAATATATACTTTTACTCACATGTAGTAATTATTTCATCTACATAATTTGTTTATACTTTGAAAATAGACAGTTCATGTTCGCCAAAAAAATAAATCCAATTAATAAAAATAAAAAATTCAGACAATAATTGACTTTTTTTTATAAATAATATCATTTTAAAAAATATTTTCAAATATAACATCTTTATAATATTATTTACCTATCTAGTAGCCTATTTATAATTGACTTTTGAAATTCAGTGTTCGGAACTGAATTCTAAACTACTATTTCTAATTTTTTTTATTTTTCCAAGTCAAACCGAATTCTAAACTAGTTTTTCTAATATTTTTTTTAGTTTTAATTTTTTATTTTATTAATTTTATAAATATTTTTTTATAATTTTAAATATAATTTATTTTTAAATTTATAATTATTATTTTAATTTATGCAATATATATATATATATATATATATATATAATTAATTTAAAGTTCATATCATATATATAATTTTAATTTATGTAATATATATATATATATATATAATTAATTAAAATTTATATAATATATATAATTTATTTAACATTAAAAATAGATATATTTTTATTAATTTTATAATTATAAGTTTTTTTAAGGTTATAATTCTAAATATAATTTTTTTTAACTTTATATTATAATTTATATAATATATATACTTTATAAATAGTTATTTTTTTAATTTTAATTTGATATATAATTTTAATTTTAAATAAAAAATAAAAATTTATATATATATATATATATTCAAATATTATATATATATATATATATATATATATATTAAAGTTATAAACTTATAAATAATTATAATTATTATCCTAAACTTAAAAAAATTAATAATTATAAAAATAAAAAAAATAACAATTTCTAAACCTATAAAAAATTTTGAAAAATTAATTCAAAATTCAGCCTTTGGAGATCGAATTCTGAACTAGCACGAGTAAAAAGTGCTAGTTAGGTAAATAATATTGGAGAAGTACACTTTTGAGAATTTAAAAAAAATATTAATTATGTAAAAAAGTCACATATAAATAAATTACTTTAAATATACATTAAATAATTATAAATAAAAAATATATATATAATTAAAATTAAAAAAATAACTATTTATAAATTATATATATTATATAAATTAGAATTATAAAGTTAAAAAAATTATATTTAAAATTATAACTTTAAAAAAATTAGAATTATAAAATTAATAAAAATATATCTTTTTAATGTTAAATAAATTATATATATTATATAAATTATAATTATATATATATATATATATATATATTACATAAATTAAAACTATATATACGAACTTCAAATTATATATATATAGTATAAATTAAAATAATAATTATAAATTTAAAAATAAATTATATTTAAAATTATATAACAAAATTATTTATAAAATTAATAAAACAAAAATTAAAAATTAAAAAAATCAGTTCAGAACTTAGTTCTCCAGAAATCCAATTCTGATTGAATAAATAAAAAAAATAGAAATATCAAACGTGAAACAGTAAATGATGGATAAATAATATTAATGAAATACTATTTTAAAAAATATTTTTTAAAATGATATTATTTATAAAAAAAAATACATAATAAACAAAAAATTTCAGAATTTATATATTATTGGTTCTCTATTGTCGTATTCATACGAAGAATACAAACGTGTATTTATATACTGTTCCAAAATATTTCCAAAATTAAATAAAAATTATCTAAAATAACAGAATATTCCAACTATTATTTAATTTTATTAAAAAAACCGAACAAAACTAACCTCAAGGTAACAAATGTTCGTTGTTGTGTCACATGGATAACATACATGTTAATGGATTTATGATAAAAATGGGTATAATGTTCTTATTTCGTTGACAATTATTATTCCAGTTCTATTTAGACAGAAACTGCATCCATAAACTCTTTGTCTGATTCGAGAGCACTCATTATATGTGGCAAGAGGCAAACTTCCAAATCGATGCTTCCCCCTCCTTGATGCCCTGGATATGAAGTCACTTTCCCATCAAATTTGTTTGCATACCCACTTCTAACCGCCACCGCTTTTCCCATTCCAAATTCATTTCCATACATGTTGAATCTGGGTGAGCTTCCCATCATCACACTATAGGGGTCAAAGAAACGATCGGTCTGAATTATGAAAGGAGAATCTAACCACCTTTGGAGGAATTGCATCACTACTGTAAAGTTAAGGTTTGCAACAGCCACGTGCAACTTCCATGCTGCCCATCCTATGCCATTCTCAAGCAATTCCCCTGCTGTCGTTTCTCCACTCACTGCATGAAGGCAGTTGCCAAAGTATTCAGTAGGCAGAGACGGCTCCATTCTTGATCGATTGTTTGCGACTAATCTGCAACTTGTTTTTTGGTCAGACTGTGGGGAGAGCGCACGAGTTATGGATCTCCAAACAAGTGCTGATAATGACTGGAGTGATGAGATGCTGGTGGTATTAGACTCTAGGTTGGCCTTTCTTTTAAGTTTCGCAATAGACTCTGCTGAAAAGTGGAAAACTCTCTCTCTCAGCAAGGGTGCTTCAAATCTTTCGATAAACTCGTCGTGATGTTTGAAAGGAAGAGAGATTGGCGGACTACAATTATTTGGAAACCAACGATTGTGAATGGGTTGGTGTGAGATGGGAACATCATATTCATGGCTTTCAGCTTGAAAGATCTGAGACCATGTGTTAAAGAAATTCCAATAAGAAGTTCCATCACCAATAGAGTGGTTCATGGAACAACCTATGAAAACACCATCCACCAATTCAGTGACTTGGATGGACAACAGCGGCATGCTGTGACCATCTTGGTTGAGTGCTCTATCGTGGTCAAACAATGATTGAAAAATGGGAGGGACATCAACGGGAGAGAGAATATCATATATGGTCATATCCAAGGTTGCATAGATGAATCTAGCTCCATCACTGTTGTTGCAATCAACAAAAATAGTATAAGAGGGAGGGAGTTGGGTTTTATGGGTGACAAGGCGACCGGACAATGGATAGAAATGGGAGAGGGTGAGAGAAAGGGAGTGCTTGAGCTTCTCCAACAGATTCTCCATGAAATGTTGTTGATCTAGAATAGTTGCAGGCTTGCTGAAGAGCAAACCCTTCTGTATATAGTGGGAAGAAAGCATAACAATATCCCAAGGAGTTAGATTGTAGATTTGGTTGGAGACTTCGTTGGAGGGGTGAGAGTTGACGAAAATTTCTGAAACGAGTCGAACGACAGGGGTAGTCATTAGTCAGATATTGAGACACAAAACTTAGCTTTGTGTTGCAGAGAGCTTAGTGATTGGAGAACAGTGAACAGAAGAAATAGTTTTATACGAACAATGCAGTCAATCCCTGCCCCGGTGTCCGTTTCTGTGAAAGTTTTATATTCGAGATCGTGAAAAAGATTGATGGAAACCTTTCCTTCCAATGGATGTTTTGTTTCAGTGAGTGATTGTACATGCATTATCACCCTTTGGATTTGCTATTAAATTAGAACAACATAAACGCAAATGCGTTGAATCTCTCCATTGCCACGCTTGTCTTGTTGCAACCTAACGTACTTCTTTTATTTATTTATTTATTTGAGAGATGATTCCTTCAACGTCAAAGAATATTAATATAATAATAAATATAATCAGTTGTGGATAAGATGTTTGAATCGTCAAAAAACATTTCCGCTTTCATAACCCAAATATCATCTACAACTTATTAGATTAATATAACAACATTATATTAATATTTTCGGCGGGTTTTTTCGGTGTATGAATTGTGAGATGATCACCAGTTTATTATATTAATTTTTAATAGATTAACATTTGACTAAGTCATACACATGATAATACATAAAAACAAGAAGACCCTCTACTCCAGCCACGAACAAGTTGCAGAAATTATTTTCTATATTCATATGGAAGGTATTTGAACATTAGTAAATAGCTTAAAGTCTTGCACCAAAATAAATAAGTTAAAGTCTCATGGTTAAATAAATGCATATTTCATTTACTTTCCCATGAAAATTTTGACTTGGATTTCTATTTTTCGTCGTTATTATTAAAAAATATTAATACCTGTGGCATTTTTTTCTAATAAAAACCTGGTAATTTCTAATTTTATATTTAAAAATCATTAACCTGATTTATTTAATAAAAAAAATTCTATCTAATTTAAATTTAATCTGAACTATGTTATCACTTTCCACAAACAACATAATTTATATCTATAATTTTCTAAGAAAACCGTGACTGTATTAATAAGAAGATAATATTGACCAAGCCATCTTGCCACAGTTTACATTTTCAACACTACATCTCATGCAGGAGTGTGCGGAGCTATGCACAGCAACTGTATAACGTTCTGTTCAAAAATCCAAACACTCCAATTTTTTTGGTCAAATAAAATCCATACATAATTATAAATACGTATAAAATATATGTTAAATGAAAAAAAAGAGAGTGTAGGCAAGTTATACAGTTGCTGTCCTTGTGATTGCAACGCCTCCCTGTCAATGTGTTGTAACAGCCAGGTGCAACTTCCATGCAGCCCATCCTAGATCATTCTCAAGCAATTCCCCAACTGTTGTTTCTACCCTAAGCCTTTGAATTGAGTTTCCAAAGTATTCATGAGGAAGAGGCAGTTCCAATCTTGATCTATTTGTTTGCAAATAAATTGCAACTTGTTCTTTGTTCATATGGTAAAAAGCATGCACGAGTTACTGATCTCCACACAAGTGCTGATAATGACTGGAATGAAGAGATTTTCGAGGTATTACTGTTGGACTCTGAGTCTGCCTTTGCTTTCAGTTTTGCTAAAGACTCAGCTAAAAAGTGGAAGATTCTCTCTCAGCAAGGGTGCTTCAAATCTGTTGATAAACTCGTGATGATGTTTGAAAGGAAGATTGATTGGTGTGTTAAGGAGATTCTCACATATGAAACTCAAGCTATAACATCTCTTTGAATCCAAAATATTAAAAATATTAAGATATTAAGTCATGAATCTTTCTCATTTGTAACTTACTCAATTTTTTTATTTCTATTCAACATGAAACGTGGTACACTGCAGTGTCATATATTCATTGGCTTGGGTTTGAGCTTGGAAGATCTGAGACCATGTATTGAAGAAATTCCAATACGAAGTGCCGTCACCGACAGCGTGATTCATGGAACAACCGATGAAAACACCATCAACTAGTTCAGTGACTTGGATGGACAACAACGGCATGGTGTGACCATCATAGTTGACTGCTCTGTGGTGGTCAAAGAATGAGTGAACAATGGGTGGGACGTCAACTGGGGAAAGGATATCAGCTATGGTCATATCCAGAGTTGCATAGATGAATCTAGCTCCATCACTGTTGTTGCAATCAACGAACATAACATAAGAAGGAGGGTTTTGGGTTTTGTGGGTGACAAGGCGGCCAGCCAAAGGATAGAAATGGAAGAGAGTGAGAGAAAGAGTGTCTGAGCTTCTCCAAGAGATTCTCTATGAAATGACGTTGATCAACAAGTGTTGCAGGCTTCTTGAAGAGTAGACCCTTCTGGATATAGTGCATAGACATCATAGCAAAATCCCAAGGTGTTAAATCGCATATTTGGTTTGACACTTGGGTTGAGCCATGTGGTTTGACGAAGCATTCTGAAATGCGTCGAACGAGAGGAGTAACCATGATTCAAATTTTTGTTGCAAACAGAGCGATGTAGTATTGTTTCCTCTGCAAACTCTGAACAACAAATCTTAACTATTCGTTTAAATATAAACAAGTGATATAGATATGCATGTAAGTAAATGCATATGCATGTAGATTTTCAAAAAGAAAAGTTATTGAGATTTGTTAGGAAACTTCTCCCCATTAGAATATCACAAGGGTATTAGAAAATAGGATAAGATGTTTTCACAACTCACAGTTACACAAACAACTAATTAATAATAATTTATTTTTATTTTTAATCATAAATTTATTTATTATATATTATTATCATTATTATATTAATATAAGAGGATTGTCTTTCTGCTTGGTTGTCTGTTACAACATGCACTCACGAGTAAAATGGACTGATTCAAGATAACAACCCAAGTGTTAGTGCGAGACCAAAATAAAATACGATGAACTAGATCATCTGGGACGATTACGTGCATTGAGAGAATGTTATGGTTTACTATTTTATTATTTTGTTTGTTATGGAATTGGAATATATTTGTTAAAGCTTATTTTATTATTTTGTTTGTTATGGAATTGGAATATTTTTGTTAAAGCTTTTTACGTGGTTATCGTGATATGCGGAAAATCGATAGTGCATGTCATGAATATAAGCATTGTAATGAACTATTCTCAAGGAGAGATATTATTAGCAGTTGAAAGAGATACAAATAAATTTTATTTTTAAAGTGTGTATAATCATTATCTCTTAAGGATTTATTCGCAGTCTATTTTTGAGACGTGTATAATCACTGTCCTTAAAGACTTATTCGCAGTATAATGCGCAAGTCCTTTCGGATATAACAAAAACTTCTTAAAATTTCCGAGGATCTTAGAAACTAACAAGAAACTCTTCAAAGAGTAAATAAACTTAGGATAATAATAGAACAAGAAAGAAAAATAAAGAAGAGAAATATGAGAGAGGTGTGTTTTTGGAAAAATATGAAGTGGTATCTATTTATAAGTGTACATTGAACTCAGAACCTTAACTACTCACGTCCAAAAAATTCACCAGCAATCACCTCACCCTAATACTTAGGAAGTACCATGAAATAAGGAGAAATATCTGTAGCAGTTAGAAGAAGACTTGATAGTGGGTCTGCAAAGTTATCTACAACGTGCAGAAGTGAGTTCCTTGTTTTTCTGCAATACAGTTTCATAATAATCTCACACATATTACAAAAATAAGAAGGAGATAAAAGAAAAAAATATTGGGTCTCATTTATATAATGCATCGGAGCTGGTATAGCAAGTTATATGAACCAGTCTTAGACCGAAAACTTAACACAATGTAGTTGATATAGCAAGTTATATGAACCAAAACACTTAGTGTGTGTTAGCGGTCTAATAATCATAATACACCCCCACAATTCTTGTTGTTATCGCTGTGTTGCGCTTATTAGGCCATGCGCATATCCGATATTCATGAGTGCTCTAGAAATCTTGCAAAGATCTCATACAAGCGGCCCCACTCGACACTCATATAGGTGACTTCATCAAGCGTATGTTGCAAATCATACACCACCCGTAAGGGATATGAAATCGTTAAAAACTTTGTTTAAACAAAAATTCATACACTACATAGAATTTTAATTACAAAATTTAACCTCTCAAAGATGCAGTATCTAACACTTTCACATATACACCATACAAATGAACATAATTGATTTTAATCAATTTTAGTGCTAGCAGAACTAACAAGTGACTTATTGATATGAATCACAAGGGGTAATTTAGGATCTTTAGGGTTAGAACCTTGTAAGAAATTTAGGAATTAGAAAGAAGGTGGAAGGAAAGAATCACTCTTCCCAAGGGAGGCAACACACAAAGGATGTGACAGTCCTTTGATACAGCCAAGGGTTCTTGAATCACTCAAGAATTAAGGAGAATCACTCTCACTAAGATAAAAGAGATAAACTCTAATATTTCCAAAAATAAAACTCAACTTGTTATTTCTGATAAAAATGGTTCAGCTTATAAAGAAGCTTTGCCATCAGAGTTACAAATATTCATTAAAGGAAAATAAATGCTAATAATGATTTATTAACCTAGGAATTGAAAACTACTTAATGATTGATTGTAACTGAAATTTTGGCATCCAAAAGTCAATCAGCTATGCACCCTCTTGGTCTCCCAAAATAACTAAATTTCCAATTGGGTCCTTATTACAACTTAAAACAAAATCAAACTAAAGTCCATTAATTGATTAATCCAAAACACAATTTGGTCAACCAACAATACTTGTTGAAAAGCTTCATTTACTTCCCTTGCTCTAGCCCTTATCATAGGTCATGTTCACATCACTTATTTTTACCCATATGAACCTTATTCATGAAATCTTCAATCACAAAGGTTGGGTTACCATTAACTATTTGTTTGCAAGTGGTTTAAGTCTCATTCCCCTCGATGTTTCTAAAATCATATTTCTCGCTAAGGGTTACGTCAGAGGATCTCCTAGATTTCATTCTAACTTCACATAATCAATGGAAATTGTTCAATTCTTTAGCGGTTGCTTCAGTAAATTATGTCTCAATTGTATATATTTGTTCTTTTCATTGTAATTCTTATTTTTAGCTATAGTTATTGTCAATTGGCAATCACAGTGTATTGATACAGACGGGGTCAGTTTCATTCCTAATGGAATGTTTGCTAAGAAGTTTTTCAACCACTCAGCTTCACTACCAGCCATTTCGAGAGCAACAAATTCAGATTTCATTGTCTTGCAATAATTGTTTGCCTGACTGATTTTCATGTAATCGCACCATGTGTGAATACATAACCACTAGCAAATTTTGTCTCATCTGAATCAGATATCCACTATACCCTTCTAGTACAATGAGAAATTCACTATATTCAATGACATAATTCATTGAACCTCTTAAGTATCTCATAAGTCTTGCAAGTTCATTCCAATGTTCTTGATTAGGACATTGAGTGTATCTATTCAGTCTACCTACTGCATAAGCAATGTCAGGTCTAAAAAATCTCATTAAATGCAGTAAGCTCCCAATTACTTAGGCATACTGAGGTTGAGAGATTGAGTCTCCTCTATTTTTCTTTAACTTAGAGTTAGTGTCATAAGGGGTATTCACTGGTTTGACGTTATAACGTCCAAACTTCCTAAGAAGTTTCTCAATGTATTATTCTTGACATAATAATATACTATCGCCCTTCCTTATGACTTTAACTCCCAAAATCACATTGGCTTCACCCATGTCTTTCATTTCAAATTTAGATCCCAGAAACAATTTAGTTCTAGAGACAATGTCAATGCATGTACCAAATATTAGCATGTCATCTACATATAATAAACATATAATTACACATTGACCATTTTTAAATTTAGAGTACACACATTTATCAGCATCATTAGTTGAAAATCTATTACAAAATATAACACTATCAAGTTTTTCATGTCACTGTTTTGGTGCTTGTTTTAATCCATACAAGGATTTTAAAAATTTATACACTTTGTTCTTTTGACCAAGAACAACACATTCTTCAGGTTGAGTCATATAAATTTTCTCCTCTAATTCACCATTCAAAAAGGTTGTATTAACGTCCATTTGGTGTATAACCAACTTATGATAGTTGATAGAGCTAACAAAACTCGAATAGAGGAAATTCTAGTCACAGGGGCAAATGTGTCAAAATAATCAATCTTGGATTTTTGAGTAAAATCGTTTACTACTAATCTTGGCTTATATTTATCTATGGATCCATTAAGATGATATTTTTTCTTAAAAATCCACCTACAATCAATCGATTTTGCTCCTTTAGACAAATTTACTAAGGTCCAAGTATTATTTTTCTTAATTGAATCAATGTCAGTCTTAATGGCTTTATCTTAATGTATTGCATCAGGAGCCCTAGTAGCCTCTAAAAAGTTCGTTGGATCATTTTCAATTAGATAAATGTAAAAATCATCTCCAATTGAGGTTTCCTTCCTCTATCTTTTACTTCTCTTCAAATCCTCATATACGTTATCATTATTAATATCTATAGATTGTTTAGGTGTTTCACTAACCTTTAGAGGAAAAATATGTTCAAAGAAATCAACATATTTTGTCTCCACTATAGTATTATGCTCAATTACATAAGAAACCTATAGGCAACACTATGTTCTGCAGAGCCTAAGAATATACAATCAGAAGTTTTAAAGCCTATTTTCTTTTTCTTAGGATTGGGTAACATTACCTTAACTAGGCACTCCCATACTCTTAGATATTTAAGATAAGGTTCATAACCTCTCCATAACTCGTAGGGACTTTTACCAGTTTTATTATGTGGTATCCTATTTTGTAAACAATAGGTTGTAAGTAAAAATTCTCCCCAAAGTTTATTAGGTGCACTAGAGCTAATAAACATGACATTCATAATTTCTTTTAGAGTTTTATTTTTTCTCTCAACTACTCCATTAGACTCGAGTGAATATGGTGGGGTCACTTTGTGAACAATGTTAGGTATTAGACAAAAGCATAACCACACACAACTAAAATAAAAGGTGAGAAAAATACCAATAATAAGCAAAAGAGTAATTTCACTAATGAAAGAAATTACAACCATTTTCTCTCTATCTCCAAGGAGGCAACAACAACACTCTCTCCTAAAAATAAAGGAAAAACAATTCTAAGAGAACCTAAAAGGAGAAACTATTTTTCTCTCAATTTATCTCTCAAGTACTAAAGCAGTAAGAGAAAGAAAACAAAGTGATTTTAGTGTGTTTTTACAAGATAAATATTGTGCTCATTTTATAGTAAGCACCAAAGTAAGATTTGTCTGATGTGAGACTTCTTTTCTCACAAACAATACCTTCTTTAACACCATAATCATTAAATGTTATATATTCATCACCTCTATCTGACCTTGTCTTCGCCGTCAAAACGAGGCGGTCGGAGCGACGTGATGGTTTTGACTTTCCAATTTTCGCGTTTTTATTGGTGTGGTTACAACGCCTCTAGGTTGTCCGA